CAATAATGAAGTACTTTTCAATAGGGATGGGCTGAATATGGATTTCACCGAATACGAATATTCGGCCGAACATTCGGTAAAATTAATACCGAACCGAATATTCGGCAGAACATTATTCGGCAGGATTACCTCGGTACCTAACGAATTTGTGTCGAAACTTGTTACCGTAAAGCGGGTGGAATGCAATTACGCTCAAATTGAAAAGAAAGCCATCGCTGTTATATTTGCAATTAAAAATTTCCACCACTACGCTAGCGCTTACTAAACATTTTCGGAAATAAAAAGGGTATACCCTTGAACGAATGAATTAACCACTGGACCCGACATAAAACACAAATGTATGAAGACTCGTTCAACCAAGTGGATAATAACGCAAACACAGATTTTATTACGTTAATATAAACACAGATACGAAATTAGTAGAAGTTCACTCTATTTCTAGCGCTTGAACGTAGTGGATAAAATATATCGATGAACGACTGAGAAAGAAAAGGCGTATCGTAAATAAGCTGTAACACAAAAGAAATAAAGGGATAATAAAGGTGAGGTAATAAGCTTCCGGTATTAAAATTTTAATTAAAATAAAAGAAGCAGGACATCGTTATGGACTTTTTATTCAATTAGTTACGATAAACGTCAATTTTTATTTGTTAAGTTTAAATTATTTAAATAGGTATATTGACTTTTATTATGTATCATCTTTCTTAAAATGTGTTTCTTAGAATTTGTTTTGTTCTCTTGTTTTCTTATATAAGCAATTATAATATTTATATACTTTTCAGCAACGGCTTTCATTAATTCTTCTACGTGATTCACGTCATCGTTTTCAAATTTATGGAAATGAATGTTTTCGTACAACGGAAGTTGCAGCAATGTTTCTGTTACTTTCGGAAGGAGAAAGTTTATTGTATAATCTTTTTTTAGTCTTTTATTCTGAACACCCTTCGTAAGTTCGAGTTCGCAGTGCTGACAAATAGCTATGGTATCACTTGAGGGAAGTATCAGTTTTCCCTTGTCTTTATGGGCAATGAGACTGCCTTTATTGGTGTCATTTTGTGTTTCTTTGCATTAGTATTAAAACAGGCAGTATCGAAATGTACACTGCATATGGCGCTGTGTTTCGTCGGAATCCAGGTTTCATCTCTACGAACTGCTTCTACCCACTTTCTTTTCCGAGAAAGGTCACTAAGAAATCCGAATATTCGTGTAATTTATGTGTTTAAATATTTTAAGCACAGATACTAATTATAAATTTTGCATTTATAATATTTTTATTTAATTTTAAAATTACTATTATAAATTTAATGACATCAGATTTTAGGATACTGTTATATAAGTATTTTTAAGTGTTATTGTATTTTACAAATAACATCATCATTTATTCGGTCTTATCGTCAAATATCGATATATTTTTCAACATTGTCAAGCACTAGTCGATGTCAAATTGACTCACTTCACAGTTTTAGTCATTCGTTCTGAATGGTATAATCTACCCATTTTGTGATGATTGTCAGATGTCAACGGTGCATAGAAATATCGACTATATTTAACATAGTTGGATAATACAACATTTTATTTTACATTTGATTAAATTTTGTGATAAATAACAATAAATGTAATAAAATAATGCACTTACATGTGAAAAGAAATAGTGCTGATTCCGCCGCTATAGATTTTACACCATTTAACTGAACATTTAGTCATTTTTGGGAGATGTTTTGTTGACAAGTAAGTGCTTGAGATTGACGCAAAAACAAACGACCAAGGCTAGAATTTCCTGGTTACTGACGAGACCGGTATAGGTAATTCCGCTTATATGTCGGGTCCAATAGTTAATTCGTTCAAGGGTATACCTTACATGGCGGCTAATCAGCTTTAACGTTACACGATCTTTTTATCTGCCTTTAGTTTCACATTAGAGTATGTTAGAAGTGACAGCAATGTGCCTGAGTTCTTATCGCGGTCTGTAAAGCAATTACAGTACGAAATTCATAATGAATCCTCAGATCTTGATAAATCATTGTATATTAATTTTATAGATAACTCAGTTTTAAAACCAATAACTGTGGAAGATATAAAAGAAGAAACATCCCGAGATAATCTTTTAATAAAGGTATTAGAGTTTATGCACAAAGGGGGGCCTCGAAAAGTGTCAGATCCGTTGTTAAAGTAATCATACCGTCAATTTTTTTCCGCGAGCAGCTATTAAACGAACTATAACGTCGAATACCTATAGTACGGCCAACTAGCAGAGCTACGAAAGGTCATTTACCTTAAAAACGACTGTGGAGTTGACAATCTATTATCTATCCCTTTCCATCTTTTGTAATTCTTCATGGGGAGTATATTTCCATCGTTGCCACGCCCGGCGAGCGGGTAGGCAATCGCAGTTTTTTTGTTGTATAGTTGCTGTTATCAGGAAGACGCTGCTGTCCACCTCCTGCCTGTTTCCCTCTGTCACCTTTTACGACACCCACGAGAAGATATGGGGTAGTGGATATTCTTAACCGCCACTACGCCGCAATTACAGCGGAGCTTCTGAAAGCGGGTGGAACACCGGTACTTGAAGTCCTTCAGAAGCTCTTCAATTCCGTCCTCCATGGTGGCACTACTCCGGAGGCGTGGAGCAAAAGTGCGATGGTCTTGTTCTTTAAGAAAGACGACAATGCTCTCTTGAAGGGCTACAGACCGATTTCCCTTCTGAGCCGCGTCTACGTGCTGTTTTCGAGAGTCATTACGAATCGTCTCGCACGCAGACTCGACGACTTCCAGCCTCCCGAACAAGCCGGTTTCCGAAAAGGCTTCAGTACCATAGACCACATACATACCCTACGGCAGATTGTACAGAAGACCGAAGAGTACAATCTGCCACTTTGCCTGGCGTATGTGGACTATGAGAAAGCCTTTGATTCCGTCGAAATTTGGGCGGTGCTACAGTCCCTTTGGCGGTGCCAAGTTGACTGTCGGTATATCGAAGTGCTGAAGTGTTTGTATAGTAGGGCTACCGGGATGGCTATCCGAGTACAGAACCAGAGTTCGAATCCTATCCAACTGCAGAGAGGTGTACGACAGGGTGACGTATATCCCCGAAACTCGTCACCGCTGCGTTGGAAGACGTTTTCAAACCGCTGGACTGGAAAGGATACGGAATTAACATCAATGGCGAGTATATCACTCACCTTCGATTTGCCGACGATATAGTCCTTATGGCAAAATCGCTGGAGGACCTAAGCACTATGCTCAATGACCTCAATGGTGTCTCCCAACGGATAGGCCTTAAGATGAACATGGACAAAACAAATCATATTTAATGTCCATGTCACACCTATGCCGGTAGTTATTGGGAGCACTATGCTCGAAGTTGTTGACGAGTACGTTTACCTGGGACCAATAGTCCGACTAGGAAAGTCCAACTTCGACCGAGAGGTCAATCGACGGATTCAACTCGGCTGGGCAGCGTTCGGGAAATTACGACACATCTCTCGTCAGGTATACCTCAATCTCTGAAAACTACATTGTACAACCAATGCGTGTTGCCAGTGATGACTTACGGATCTGAGACGTGGTCCTTCACTGCTGGCCATATGAGAATGCTCAAGGTCGCTCAGCGAGCTATGGAGAGGGCTATGCTCGTAGTTTGTCTGCGTAATAAGGCTCAGAAATGAGGATATCCACAGTAAAACCAGAGTGACCGACATAGCCTAACGGATTAGTAAGCTGAGGTGGCAATGGGCCGGCCATATAGCTCGCAGAACCGATAACCGATGGGGAAAAAAGGTTCTCGAGTGGCAGCCTCGTACCGGTAGGCGTAGTGTACGGCGACCTCACACTAGATGGAGTGACGACCTGGTAAGACATGCAGGAAGTCGATGGATGCAGGGCTCAGGACTTGGATTATTTGGGGGAGGTATTAGACTTTGAAGGGCTTAATATGATGATGATTCCATATTTGTCGTAATGTCTCGTTTTTCCGGCAAAAATATGTCAGGGTCAAGATGGGTTTGCCAACATTCGGGAGGCCATTTTAGTAATTGTTGTTTACTTAATTATTGTTATTTTGTTTTGTTGATAATTGTTTTTTATTAAGAGTGATTAATGATGGAGCCACAATCAAGTACGTTGAGAGATAAATCAACAGATTTTACGTCTCAGAAAAAGAAACGTCCAAAGGTGTGTATAGGAATAGGATATATATAAATGTTGTTTAGTAGTTTTAATAAAAACTTCTTGGTTCGTAGTGTACCTACTTTAAAGTTATCTTAAAGTTATTTAAAAAACAGCAACTGGTGGAGCCACGTGTTTAAGGCTGCCGAAAATCTAGTTCCCCGGTCGAAACTTAAACCTATTACGCGAGATATTAACTAAAGTGGACTGTATATGCGATTGCTTCTACGCTTACGTAAAAGCGACTACTATAGCATGCGGTACAATGCACTCGCTCTTCCCTAAACTAAAACTATTACTTGCCAAATCGATGAAAGGAATCCTGCTTGATTAGGAAAACACAAAGTTGGAGCGGGTTAAAACTATTATCAAGCAGGTATAATAATGGATATTGACTCACCGGGGTTCTTCTATCCTTTAGAGCAGTGTTCCGCAAAGTGTGTACCGCGGCACACTGGTGTACCGTGATCATTAGTTGGTGTGCCGTGGAAACATAAGGTTATCTTATAAAATTATTTTTAGTAAGTAAGTAAGGGTAAGTAAAATACCTACACAAAAAATGCGAGCGCACGAGCGAGGCGTTTTGTTTCGTTCATTTAATTTAGCTTGCTACATATTTATTTATCTATGATTTAATTCTGTGGTTTCGTCAGGCGCAGGCGGCGGCGGCCTGCGCGTCGCGGGAGGCGGAGACGAAGGCTCCCCGCCCCGCTACCCGAACTTTCTGGCTCACCAGTCTGTCAGTATGAGTACGAGTGCGCCGTTTAACCACACGCTTTTGTTTCGTCGCGTATTATTATGCTTATTATTCTAAGCGTAAAATAAATATTAAAATAATGGATAAATTCATTAAACGTAGTGTAAGTTTGTCAGGTGAAAGTAACGAAGAAGAAAAAGAGTCAATGAAAAAGAAACCCAAAATTGTTCATCGAAAATATGACGAAAGGTACATAAATACGGTTTTACATATTGCGGAGACGAATCTTGTCCTACCCCAAAATGTTTTGTTTGCGGAGAAACGTTGGGTAATAATTCGATGGTGCCCAGTAAACTAATACGACATTTAACTACTAAACACCCATCAGTAGCCCAAAAAGACAAAACATATTTTCAACGTTTGAAGGACCAATCGAAGAAGCAGGTAAATCTCACGAGTTCGTCTTTCAAAACCTCAGACATAGCACAAAAAGCAAGCAACGTAATCACTAATATGTTAGTTAAAGCTAAAAAGCCGCACTCTCTTGCTGAAACTGTAGTTTTACCTGTCTTCAAAGAAATTGTTAAGATAATGTTTAGCCAAGAAGCTGCTAAAGAAATTAAAAAAATACCTGCATCGGCAGAAACGATTTCACGCCGAATCAATGACATATACATTAAATCGACGTTGATTGAAAAATTAAGAGTTAGTGGAGTTTTTGCGCTACAAGTTGATGAGTCCACTGACATCAGTGGTCACGCGCATCTCAACTCAAATGTTAGATACATTGGTACTATACTAAGGTTGCTGAAAAAAATCCTAATGTTCAAAAACAGCATTGTTTTTACACAGGGAAGCTCTTATGAGGAAGTCTATGCCTGACGTTCTATTGCGCGTTCTTCAAGAAATTATCAAAATCGTCAATTACATCAAGTCGCGACCGCTGAACTCTCGTATTTTTAATGCACTGTGTCATGAAATGGGGGCAGATCATCAGTCGCTTTTGTTTCATACACAGGTACGATGGCTTTCTCGCGGCAAAGTACTTTCCCGAATTTATGAGTTGGAAAATGAGACTGAGATGTTCTTGCAGTCCCAGGGTTCAGATTATGAACATTTATTTAAAAAAGAAGAATGGCTAGCAAAACTTGCATATCTGACGGATATATTTGCTCACTTAAATGAGCTCAATAGAAAAATGAAAGGCAGAAATTCCAATATTTTGACATCGTCGGATAAAATTGAAAGCTTTCGCGCTAAATTGGAACTATGGATCAGTCTCGCTACGAATGGTAATAATGAAATGTTCCCAAATGTCATTGCAGCTGACATAGAACAAAAGGTGCAGGCTTTGATTGTCAAACACTTAAAGCTTCTTGCAGAGAAAATGAATTTCTATTTCCCTAAGCGTGATCTGTAACCTATGGACTGGGTTCGAAATCCATTCTCCGAGAACATTCCTTTCGGCCACTTACCAATAAATGAGCAGGAAGAACTGATGTAAATGAAAACGGATCGCACATTAATATTAAAATTTTCTGAAACTGATTTAGAACATTTTTGGCTATGTGTGAAAAAATAGTATCCTCTGCTTTCTAAGCATGCTATTGCAATACTTTTACCGTTTGCAACAATCTATTTGAGTGAATTAGGATTTTCGACTCGTACCACGATAAAAACCAAAAAAAGGAAACGCCTCAGGATGATCGACGAAGAAATGAGAGCAGCCTTGTCAGCGATAACTCCAAATTTAGACCGTCTGTGCTCAATTAAACAGTCTCATGTTTCGCATTAAATAAATTTTCTAAAATTTAAAGTTTAGGTTTGTTGATTAGTTAAAAACTGTTTTTTAATTTGTGGTGTACCTCAAATTTTTTTTCGTTTTCCTATGTGTACCTTGAACAGAAAAAGTTTGCGGAACACTGCTTTAGAGCACTATAGCGGCGACTTCCGGAACTTCTTCTGGATAGAGGCGGTGCGCGACGATATCTCAGACGAGGTGAGGCAGGTTTCCCGGAGCTCGACTGCTTCCAGGCTAAAGCGGTTTCTACTAATGATGTGTTTCCAACAACGAGCGCGGCGGGAAGAGAGCTGTGGTTTCAACAGCGAGCGCGGTGGGAAGAGAGAGAGAGGCCGCGCATCGGTCGCGCGTGCCTTATATATCCTCGGCTCCGATGATTACGCGATGTTCTAGAATCATCTTCTTTCCCCTCCCACCCCACCACCCCAATGTGTCGATAGGAGGGTACGAATGATATCGTTTTGGAAAGGAATAACGATTCGGCAAGTCCTACCGTCATACAAAAAAAATGCGAATGGTTTTCCGCGCAACCAGCAACTGTAATAATAAAACTTTTCTTAATTTATTAAAAATGCATGTAAGTAAACTATGTATATCATTTTAAGTTAATTTTCAATTTTAGGTGACTACCTACAATAACTAACCTACAAATATGAAGAAAAGAAACAAAGAAACTTGGCATAATGATAAATACTCATACAGAAAAGAGATGGCGTAGAAAGCATTTATTTAATTTAAATCTACATTATACAATAATTCAAATTATAACAAAATTTATAAAGTCTATTTTTTATTGCTATACATTTTTTTAAACTAATTGTCTACTTAAATACATGACGGGTCCACTGCAATAATGAAAATGTCCATTTTTTTTGTTTTAAAATACTTAGATTTTAATTTTATAAACGGTAAAAAATAACTCAGATTTAAAGACAAAAAAAAAGTAATTTTAATTTTAGTTAAAGGACAGGTTTTATAATATTATTACTTTGGCAAATAACTATTCTTTGGGTATTATAAACTAAATAAAAATAATATAATCTTTAGTAAGTATTCAAAAATCAGGACTATAACGATCATTGTCCCCTCTGCGTTCACAGTCAATAATGATAGTTGTCCAAATGACTGGTTTAGTTATCTTCTGATTTTGCTTCATGCCTACACAACTTTTTCAGAAACTACAAGTCGTTATATTTCGCTGGTGATATAGTCAGCTTGTCTTGATAAGCTAAATCAGGTAATTTAAATTCTCCTTCATTAATACCTGCCTTCGTAGATCGAAAAGAAGCTGGTGTGTGTGGGAATGGGAATCAAGTGTGGTTAACACTTGGTTCCCATTGACTATTACTAAAATTTCTGTGAAACATGAGCCGTGGATGTTCTTTCTGAACTTTAAATTCACGTAGAAGTCTTATGGGAAATGGACAAGTTTTTTTTTTTTGTAAAACGGTTTTAGAATTTTGAATGCATCTTGTAAACATTCAATGACATTGAAAAGTTTTGGTCTCTGTCGAGCGCCACGTATGTTGTTCAGCCCATTCTTTAGGAAGTTCAATCCTAGCCTTTTGATTTATAAAGGTCATGTTTTGATCGCATTCCATATAGCAGTGACCTTTTTTCGGGAATGTTACTGTGACAGACTCAAAGCGATTGCAATAGTGAACCATGTAGTGTAACATTCTAAAAATGGTGTAATTTTTATTTTGCCCGCCACATGAGTCACAGAAAATTGTAATAATCTTGCACTCTATATCCATTTTATGGCACAAAATTAAAGAGATGAGAGGCCACATCATCTGATCATTTTTTTCAAATATTCTCATTGCATGCGTAGAAATATGATGAGGAATCAGCAAGGAAATGAACATTAAACATAATATAACTAAGCTGCCTTTTATAATAAATGTCGTTGGTAGTTATGATTGGCACAGAAAGTTTTTTTGAAAAATACATTGCTATCGCGATTGTTGTGGCATCCTGCCTAGCCCTCAAACGAGCTTTTCTTTTTTTATCATAAAAGACTTCAGTTCTCCTTTTGTGTGTTAGGTTCTCCATTTCCAGCTTCCAAAGTTGATCCAAAATCTGAGTTTTTCATAAACATCCGAAAGAGAAGCAATTTTAATTTCAAGGTGTTTTTTCTCTGCTTGAAATTCAGATGTATTGAGACTGAGAAAACAATTGACAAGATGGCGGGCTTTGCGAGGTGATTGACATTTATCATTATTGCCGTGAACATATGTGACACTGAGCGTTCTAGCCGTGTATACATTTATTAAAAACGTATTTATCTCGGAACTGTAAGCGATTTAGCCGAGTCTGTAAACGAGATTATTAATTATATTAAGTGTCCGAATTACAAAAAATTTGGACATTCATCGTTATTACAGTGGAGCCTTCATATATCTAACTATATCAAAAAGTTACACACCCCTACTATTCCTAATAACCTTGGATTGGGTTTGTTTACATTTGGTATAGCTTTTCATTGGCCGTAGTATAGCTACCTAGCAATGGTGAGATTTTATGTCTTAATGATTTCTTATATTTACACGAACACTACACATTGATTAAAACTACTTTTATGGATTTTATCGCGTTTTATTTATTTTAGGTTTAATACCGAGGTTTCGGGTATTTTGCACCACCCATGGTCACGGGGGACTGAGGTGACTGACGTCCCGATGTCGGCGTTAACCCGGAGTACCTCAGTTATGTCTTGTCTGGTGAATACTTAAACAATGAGATGAATCGATATTTACCCGTGTTGGAATTTACAACGTGCACAACGAGATGGGTAGGTTGCGGCTGACTTGTGAACTGGCCGGTGAGATCATCACACCTAAAACCTCTAAACTTTTATTTGTGGGGCGAACTAAAACGATTAGTGATTAGTGTACACAGAAGAAACAGAAAGTGTTAGCAAAATTTTAAAAAACAATGCTCAAAGACTTACTAGTTTGTGTTTAGAAAGATAATTTTTGTAAATATTAATCAGTATAGTTTGTTAATAAGTTGATTTTGATCTTTTAAATACGCGTAAGAAGTTGCAGTATACGATAGGCATAAAAATTATTATTAGAAACTGTTAATGAATATCTCTGAAATTTATGTCTCTAAAATTGTATAAATATTATTTCTATTTAAAAAATTATAATAAATTTAAACAATACAACTATGTAATCCTAATCAACAGGGGGAATGGGACTGTATCTCTTAAATACAGGTTACTCAGTAACCTAGCTAGGAGACTCAGGTGTCTACCAATTTCAAATTGAGAACTATGAATGTCAATAAAGAATTATTATTATTATTATTATGGGGTATCTATATAGTTTTCTCATCTGGTTGGGTGCTATAAATATATAATTATAAATGAAAATGAAAAGACAAATATACATAAATATCAATAACATAAAATAAATATAAAAGTACATAAATAAATAAAAGCCCAACCAGATGGAGGCCCTCGGCAGGGGAGACCAAACGGCCGAGGGTTAGGGGGAAAGGGAAAGAAACCGGCGGCCGATGCGGGCGGTATCGAGGAGCACCGCCTTCTGCATTTGAACCTGGAGCGGTCCGCCACGTAGTCCCAGCCGCCTCAGATGACCCGAGAGGCTGACTGGGATTAGCCCGTTTGCAGAGACGACTACAGGAATAATTTCGGTCGGCAGACCACCCCACATGTCGGTCACCTCGTGAGCCAGGTCCAGATATTTTGTTTGCTTGTCTGTTTCGGCTTTCACGAGGTTCTCGTCATACGGAATGGTAATGTCGACCAAAAATATCCTTGACTGTGCCCGGTCCATCAGCACAATATCAGGCTTATTCGCAAGAATAGTCCTGTCTGTGATGATGGCCCGGTCCCAATAGAGCCTGGCGCGATCATTTTCGAGCACGGCTTCCGGCAAGTACTTGTAATACGGCAATTTCCGATCCACGAGACCGTATTTCAGAGCGAGCTCCTGGTGTAGAATTCTGGCTACTAGGTTGTGCCTGTGCAAGTACTCAGAGTTAGAAAGCGCCGAACAACCGGAGATAACATGCCTAAGTGACTCACCGGGATGGCGACAAGCTCGACAGATGTCGACGGTGCCATCCTTTAGGATGTATCTCCGATAGTTGTTGGTCTTAATAACCTGATCCTGTATTGCACAGACAAAACCCTCGGTTTCCCCCGAAGAGATCACCAAAGCGTAGCCAGTGGAGGGAGGCTACTGTGTCTACGAAAGGCTCATGTAGAGCCTTGTAGAACCTCCCGTGGAGCTCCTTCTCCTTCCATACGGTCTCCCGGTCGGAAATGCTCTGCACTGCCGGGTCTTGCCATTGCTCGTTGGCTAAGGATAGAGGGGTAAGTCCTTTATCACAAGAAATGACGTCCTTATAGAATGGATCATCCGATCTCGCCAGGAAGTAATCACGGAGGCTGCACACTTCGCGATTATGCATGGTGAGCGCGCTCAAGAAGCCACGACCACCATGCTTCCGCGGCAAGTACAGCCTCATTACCGACGATCTCGGATGATGCATCCTATGGGACGTCATTGTAGTGCGGACTTTTCTATCCAGGGCGTTAAGTTCAGTCTGAGTCCACCTGAGTATGCCAAAGGTATACATGAGGACAGGCATGACCCAGCCGTTATATGCGTGTGCCTTATTCACACCGGACAAAAGGCTGTTAAGCACTTTGGTCAAGCGTGCATAAAACAAGTCGCAAACTGACTGTTTCATACCAGTCTCATCGATACCGATGTTTTGTGACATACCCAGGTATCGGTATGTTTCAGCCTCGGAAAGGGTCCTTAAGTTGACGAGCATAGATAAGTCTACGCCCTCAGAGTTAGCAACCCTTCCCCTTTCAACATGGAGGACCGCACACTTATCCGTCCCCAGCTCCATTCCAATGGAATTGCTAAATTCACAAGTGATGTTTAGCAATTCCTCACTTTTGTCCCTCCTTTCCGTAGCTGAAATCCCCTCCCGGAGCCCTCCAGTAAGGTACTGAGAGGGTTCAGAGAGAGGCAGAACCAGATTGGACTCAGACAATCGCCCTGGAAGATACCCCTTCTTATCCTTATGTGGTTCTCCGCAGCCATCATCCGTTCGCCTAGATGACAAAGGATCGTAGTCCACTGCCCCATACACTGCTCGAGGAAGTCTCTAACTGTACAGTCTATCTTGTACAGCTCGAGGACTCTCTTTAGCCATGTATGGGGCACCGAGTCGAATGCCTTTCTGTAGTCTATCCAGGCGGCGGAGAAGTTCCGACGGTTGCGTTTCACCACTTTGCCAATGACCGCGTCAATGAGGAGTGGTTCCTTGGTTCCACGACCACCGCCCCGACATCCATTTTGAGCGCGCGACATCACCTGATTTGAGTCCAGGTGACAAGTGATTCTCGCGCTCAAAATGGATGTTAGTGTCTTGTATATGGTCGGTAGACACGTGATGGGGCGGTATTTGCTCGGGTCTGTGGTACCCTGGTCTTTAGGAACTAAATGAGTGATCCCAGTAGTGAAGAGGCTTGGGAGCGACTGCGGGGTGAGAGCCTCTTGAAACCGTCGGGCGAGCACAGAGTGACACACCATGAACCGCTTCAGCCAGTAGTGATGCAGCCCGTCAAGCCCCGGACTTTTCCAGTTCGGGGCCCTACGAACCGCCTCAGCTACGTCATCCGGCGTTATGATGACGGGGTCCATGGGCGTAATACCCGCACACTGACTCGCCACAACTTCCGTCCAAGGGCCCTCGCTGTGGTTTACGGGCTCTGACCACAGGCCGCGCCAGAATGCTACAGTGTCGGCCTGATTCGGTGCTGGACCCGTTCCACTTACCATTGGTCGCTCCAATGATTCATAGAGCCTCTTCTGATCACTCTGGAAGAGACGATTCTGGTTGAACCGTGTCGACCTCTCGGTATATCGCCGAATCCGCTTTCCCCAAGCAGCGATTCTCTGCTTCAGATCATCTATGCGCTCCGTCAGTTTTTGCGTTATATCCGGCTGGGACAAACTGACATTTGTCCCAGCAAACGCCATCCTGACGGTGCGCACAATTCTTGGCCTGTTGTTGCCTGATCTGAAGCATATCAGTCTGCCGATGAGAGCTCTAGCCTTTGCGATACGTTCCTCAATTCTTCTTCTCCATGCTGGGATAGCGCTACTATGGCCAGTAGCGCGTCCAGCCGTGGAAACCTTGGCGCCTATGATACGGCAGACTGCCAGCGCGGCGCCAAAAAGAATTGAGTCCGTCTCGCAAAGGTCCCGGCTGGCTTCCAAATAGGTAACCAGCATTGGGTTCAGAGCCCTCACGACAGCCCGATTCCGCTTGCTTAGGGCTATGCGGGGAAGTCGCGGTCGATTTTCGAGAGGCGTACTGCGCGTTTCCACAATCGCCTCTTCCAATATACTCCTCATATGCTCTAATTCCAGTTCCTGGGCGACTGTTCCATCATCGTTTGAATCAACCACAACTGGGGTATTCACGGCGGCATCCACGTTTGCGGGTTGCTCTACCATTTGTGGCGCCGCATCCTCAGCCGTAGCATTCTCATCCGACGAGGGAACAGCCTCACGTCGTAGCCGTTCGAGTTATTATTATTATTATTAATGAATTTACTGTCATGCAAGATAAATTATAACAATTAGCTCGAAGGAAAGATCTAAATCACAAAAATAGTAATAATAATAGTCTGCAACGAAAGATAATTTACCTTCTTACCCTTTTCTGTTTCACATTGTTTTGATATTTATAAACATGTGACACGTGACGGCGTTATTAATAAAAAAGTGGCAATGAGAAGTGCTTCTATTTTAATGCACTAACTTTCTTTTATTGACCAAGTATTTTACTGAAGACCAGTATATGCTGATCTTGCATTAGTAGGCAGTAACTAGTACTATTTGTGTAATTGTTCATGGGGGGTATACTCGGCTGGGCAGCGTTCGGGAAATTACGACATATCTTCTCGTCAGGTATACCTCAATCTCTGAAAACTAAAGTGTACAACCAGTGCGTGTTGCCAGTGATGACTTACGGATCAGAGACGTGGTCCTTCACTGCTGGCCGTATGAGGACGCTCAAGGTCGCTCAGCGAGCTATGGAGAGGGCTATGCTCGGAGTTTCTCTGCGTGATAGACTCAGAAATGAGGATATCCGCAGTAAAACCAGATTGACCGACATAGCCCAACGGATTAGTAAGCTGAAGTGGCAATGGGCCGGCCATATAGCTCGAAGAACCGATAACCGATGGGGAAGAAAGGTTCTCGAGTGGCAGCCTCGTACCGGTAGGCGTAGTGTAGGGCGACCCCCCACTAGATGGAGTGACGACCTGGTAAGATATGCAGGAAGTCGATGGATGCAGGTGGCTCAGGACCGTGCTTTGTGGCATTACTTGGGGGAGGCCTATGTTCAGCAGTGGACTTGTGAAGGGCTGTGATGATGATGATGATGATGAACTAGTACTAGGAGGTCCACTTACACTGAACAATATAAGGTCATTGACATTATACGCGAACGCCGTAGGATGAATTGTTTTTATTTATTTTTTGGATATTAGGAAATTTTGTCTATCTAGTTATGTATTAAAAAACTTTCGAGGATAGCTTCTGTATTCTGTAGTGTATAGACAATCGTCTATTGAGCCATCGCTACTAGTGTATAAATACCCCCCGCTTTGGGAACATCGGGCTCCAGTTTTTCTCTGGGGCCCCAAAAAGGCAGACCCACCGCGGACAACCTCCTACACCCATGAATCAGAGCCCACAGCTGATGACTATAATACACTGTATTCCGCTATTAGGAATATTGACATCAGGGAAATCACTGTAGTAGCACGTAAACTGCGCGCTGCGAAGTCCCCTCAAGAACGTCTCCTCGCTCTTTCAGAGCAACATAATCTTCTGTTAGCGTTGTAAGTTAAGTTAACTTAATTAACTTAACTTCAATGACAGAGCAGTTTGCTCTACCAAAATCTCACGGTCGTATCAAACCTAAGGGTTTATCGCTTGTATCTTTTAATATTCGCGGTTTGCGAAATAACCTCCCAGAGCTTAAGCTCTTTCTTCGGAATCGTGAAGCCGATTTCCTCCTTCTACAGGAAACTAATCTTAAAACTAAGGACACTAAAGGCCTTTCTATTAAAAACTTCAATCTTCTTCGTAACGACAGACCCGACCGCCGAGGCGGCGGAACGGCCATCGTACAGAAGACACCTCACTGCTCGCCCATTTCTACTCCGCAGCTTACCAACATGGAAGCCACGGTATGCAGGCTAGCTGTGACTGGACATCAGTCCATCCTCATAGCCTCCTGTTACATGCCTTCAGGAACCCATCCCCTCAAAAAAGATTTTGAGGCCATCTTATCTTTAGGCAATTCAGTCATTATGTTTGGAGATTTTAACTGCAAGCATACTGAATGGACATGCCGTACTACGTCCCCTAGTGGCAAGATACTGCTCGATATCACGCAGTCTCCTGATATTACCGTCCATAGTCCCCTCGGTGTTACTCACTTTCCCGATAACACCGATCACGCCCCCGATGTATTAGATTTTGCGTTACTCCAAGGAGTTTCTCTCAACCTCAGAGCAATCGAGACACTAGATGATCTAGGATCGGACCACCGACCGGTCTCCCTCATTCTTGGCCATCAGCCACCTCCACCAACACACACGAAAACCTTCACTAATTGGAAGGGATTCAAGGAGTCCCTAGCTAAAGCTCTGGACTCACAGGACTCTACCATCTCCCTATCGTCGGACTTAGACAGTCCCGAAAAAATCGACACCGCGGTCGATTCACTCTCCACCCTTATCAAATCCTCCCTTAAGGAGAACGAAAGGGTCGTCCCGGTTGCTAACAATAGTGGGCTTCCCCTACATATTAGCAACCTATTAAAAGCCAAAAAAGCTGCTTTCCGGAGAGCAGCAAAACATCCCACCCCCGAATATAGGCGCGCGGCCAATCGTCTTCAACGAGAACTCCGTTTCCGCCTCTCTGAATTTTGAGACTTCGAAAAGAGTAAACTCGCGGAGAATATCTCTCCATCTCATACAGCGTACTATCAGATGGCCAGAGCCCTCCGCATAGACGCTATCACCCACACTCCCCCTCTCTTCCGTCCCGACGGCACGGTTGCCTTCGAGGACGAGGAAAAGGCTGAGTGCTTTGCAGATAGCGTTACCGCACAATGCTCTCCTAGCTCTCAACCCGTCGACCCCTCACACGTCCAGGCAGTGGAGGATGAGGTCCACCGCCGGAACTCACCCCCTACGGCCTCCGAACCTATCTCTGTGTCCAATGATGAGATTTCATCCCTCATCAAAGGACTTAAGCCTAAAAAGGCCCCGGGCGCGGATGGCATCTCCAACCAAGCCCTAAAACACTTTCCTGAGCAGGTGTTAACCTTTTTATCTATTATCTTCAACGCCTGCTTCAACCTTAGTTACTTTCCCACTACGTGGAAAGAGGCAACTGTGATTGGAATTCCCAAGCCAGGCAAGCCTCTCAACCACCCCTCCAGTTATCGCCCCATTAGCCTCCTCAAGGCAATGGGTAAGCTATTTGAAAGAGTCATCCAAACACGTATGAGGCGCTATCTGTTTCCCACAGACGGTGTCCCTCTTATCATTCCCCATCAATTCGGTTTCCGAGCGCAACACTCATGTCCCCAACAAGTCCACCGTATTGTGGAATATATCCTCAGCGGTTTTTATCCTCGTTGTCATAAGACCATAGCGGTCTTTATCGACATAGCTAAAGCCTTCGATAGAGTCTGGTATAAGGCTTATCTAAACTCTACAAAATAGGTATCCCCGATCGTCTAGTACGTCTCGTGGCCTCTTACTTAAAGTATCGTACCTTTCGTTTTAGACACGAAGGCACGCTATCCTCACAGCGAACTATCAAAGCTGGTGTCCCTCAGGGCTCAGTACTTGCTCCTCTGCTGTACATCCTGTTCACCAACGACATTCCCATCCCGTCGAAAGGTGTTCTGCTCCCACTCTTCACAGACGACACTGCTATCTACTGCAAAGGTATACTACCCTTCATACGGAACAAGATTCAAAAGTCAGTTGATGACCTAGGAGCTTGGTTCAAAAAATGGCGCATCGATGTAAACCCGGAGAAGAGCTCCGCCGTTCACTTCGATTATAAACGACGCCGTCTCAAAAACACTCCACCAATACGTATGCTAGGGACCCCTGTCCCCTGGCATACGACCGCCAAATATTTAGGTGTCACTCTAGACACAGGGCTTACTTTCAGGCCCCACGTCAAAAGAGTAACCCGTCACGCACGGTTTTATCTGAGTAGGCTCAACAGTATGTTGGGCCGACACAGTAAAATGTCCCTTAGAAACTCTCCCGAGAAACTCTCTCTCGGACCCGCCTAATAAACTAACAAACGACCTGAACTGCCTCCTGGCGGCTCAGGCTAACTCTAATTAAATTAAATTATTACTCACTCATAATTAATTTGCCTTCGTAGGCACTCCCTCAGCGGCTCGTAGCCGCCTGCGCCCTCTTTTCCCAAAAGAGGGTCGCTCACGATAAGGCACAATAAAGCTTAATCAGCCAGTTGCCTGTCCCTAAAGGCGGTTTTTAGAGGGTATCACTTAGGTCCCCGGTAGGATGTGAGTCCCTCATAACCACGATAGACCGGCTATCGTAGTATGCGTAATGCATTTTCCGCCTCCCTACGTATAGGGTAGCCCTTTATTTGCTTCGGGCGCAAAAAAAAAAGAACATCGGGCAGTTGAATTGTAACCGGCGAGCAGACAATATCTCTGTTAATACGTATAACCATTAGATGTGTACCGTGTAAAGTGAAGTGTGTTAGTGACATTGTGTAATAAGTGATACCGTGTACATTGTGCAAAACAAAGCAGTGTATTGTATATTGGCGACGAGGAATAAAATACTGTAAGTAATTACAATTTTTTTATATAAACTGGAAAAGTTTTATGTAAGGATTTGATGTATTCTCTTTTAAAAGATGGGTTAGAATGCGGCGCCTAAAGTTGGGGAAAACTAGCAATAGCAGTTTGATTGTTTATGCCGTGATTTATCTTTTTTAAAATCAAATGGACACCCCAATGAGATGGTCCAGGAGTATGGACACTTATTGGTGATGGTCCAAGATTTACTAAAGCAAAGGTCCAGTCATGGACATGCTTTAGGTCCCAGAAAACGGTTTAAATTATTAAAGGTTGAGTTGTCGTGATTTATCTTTGTTAAAATCAAATGGACACCCCAATGAGATGGTCCAGAAGTATGGACACTTATTGGTGATGGTCCAAGATTTACTAAAGCAAAGGTTCAGTCTTGGACATGCTTTAGGTCCCAGAAAACGATTTAAATTATCAAAGGCTGAGATGTCGTGAGAATGTAATTGCGTGACGGTCTAATAATAGACACACGTAATTAAAAGATATATTGGTCATTGTTTTAGATGTCATGCTTGCGTGCATTTGAAATGTGCCCCGTTTTATTAAAAAAGTTGGTTACAAAAAT